TATTGAAAAGATCTGACTTTTTTCTGTCAATATATGACACTATTGTTCTGTTTTCAGCCGCTATGATGTTTTATCATTACATCAAGATTGTCCCGACGACGTACGTTCGCGCGGATGGCTCAACTCTTCTCACAAATCAGTTTTCCGTAACGCGACACTCGAAAAAGGTATCCCTGCTCACTGGCGAATCTGGGATGCCGGGTATATTCTTCAACTACGAGTTGAGCCCGCTCATGGTAAAGTACACGGAGAAGGCGAACTCATTCGGGCACTTCGCGACGAACACTTGCGCAATCATTGGCGGTGTGTTCACTGTGGCCGGTCTGATCGATTCGCTGCTCTATCATTCAGTACGTGCGATACAAAGGAAGATAGAGTTAGGGAAGTACAATTAAACTTTGAGTCTGCAGGAGAATGCAGCAGCATCGATTGTCCTATTCAGATCCTAATTTTGTTCTTTTTTCATCGATATAATCGTGTTCAAATAATTTCGGAATGTATCGTCTCCAAATAAGTGAGATGAGTCGCTGAAAATGAATTGGAATTAGTAATAATCGTTGATGCAACACGGCCTTAGACGGATAATCAGATTAACTAGAATTAATTAAAAAGAAGTATTATTAAAAATACTCGATTTTCTATTAGAGATCGAATTTTCTGGACAATGGCGCATTTTCATTGCACCATTTTTATTCAGTGTGACTATTCTCATCTCATTTATATTAAAAGTGTCTCAAATATATTGGACGATACTTAGCGTTATAAATGCAATTGAGAATACTTTATAAAGTATCTTTTTCATATGATGTAAAAAAGAAATTATACATAACTTATTAATATAATGATAAATGCTTTACTTACTTTTTATTTAAAAGCGATAATTTTTTAGTTTTAATGATGTAAAAACCTATTTATATGTGATGTACATAAAAACTAGTAAAATATATAAAAGCCTATTGAATTCTCATGGAAACAGGAATATCTTTCAGGAATAATTTGAAAAAGTATCTATTAATTATTATTTATTTACATTTATATTATAATTAAAATGTTTTGAGAAACGCATCGTAAACATCAACAGACGTCTTTGCGATATTTCTACAGAAGTCAACGTCTGTACCGCTTACTAAAGCCAATGGTGAAACATACATTGGTTTAGAAGGATCATACTGTGCCTTTTTCATTTCTACCAGAAACAAATGCCTTTGTTCAAGTCTAGTTTTTCGACAAAGTAAAATATGTGGCATCTGCGTAATAAAATCATGTTGCAACTGCATTTCGCTGTGAGCATAATCGAACGTACTTAGCAATCTGTCACGATCTGAAAACACAATTTAAGAGAAGGTCAGGATAAATTTATTCACGAATTCTAAAATTATGTTGCTGCGTACGCTTACTCTTGCTCCATAGCTTAGGCAAAGTGAGAAGCAATTTCTTCACTTGCATCTGATTGAAACCCATCTCCTCCCTTATACTGAACGTGTTTTCCATTAGATGTATCATCCTAAATGTTACTACCTTGGGCCCCTTGACTGTTAGGTTTCTGATTTCGTTGCCGCTGAGCTTGAAATTGTTCTGGAAGTAACCGAGCCTGCCGTCTATATCCTTTGTACTGAATAAGAGCCAGTTGGGATTCTTGCAAATTATCGTCTTTATCATTGACACGCTGAAATCATGCGCCCTCAAATATCTTATTCTCGTGTACAGATCGTCCATATCCTCCTTGAAGATGTTTGGATTTTTTGTAATGAATGTACCTAAGTAATCGGCAGATACTCCGCAGTTATGCAGAAATACTATATATGGTTTCACATCTCGATCGAAATCGAGGTTTAGGATATACTGTACCATCCCTTTTTTTGTCTCAAACTTGTACAAATTGACTCCAAGGTCTACCAGTTTCTGGATCGTGTGGGACTTATTTGCATATTTAGCGAAACTGAAGGTCGGAGTAAGCGGAGGACCAATGTCTGACAAGTCTTCGGTGCAAACGTCCAGGGGATGCGGCAATTTTATGTCACTATCATCTAGATAGTCCTCGCGAGCAAACGAAGCTATGTTTATATTATTGTTCAAGTTAGGTCGTGGTTCCAGTACATAATTTTCATCCTCGGTCTTTGGTGGTTCTGACAAGACACTCGATTTAGAGGAGGCTCTCTCGACGTCTCTTTCGAGCTCCCTCGACACGCATTGTCTCGACCCACCGCTTTTTGAAACAAATCTAATTAAATCTATCGCGGCCGGTCGTACCGTCGACACGAGTGAACAACAACGTTGAAACATGTTCGATACCTATCAGTTCTGTCACCGCATCAGCGATAAGTAATTTCAGTTAAATATCGCCGAATTGTTGAATATCACACACTTTTGCTAAAGAAAAACATTCTTATAATTTGTCATTCAACAGATACATGCTGTTATAAAAAAGAAACTGAGTGTAGCCATCTTTAAAATCCAAGCTCCCCTAGTATTTGAGGAGTGAACTACATAGCCGCATTTGCGAATTTTTTCGATGGATAATACAGTTTTGATTTTTCGTTCGTTTAATATTATTTAGGATTACAAAACGTCCTCACTAAAAAAATTTTACTTGATATACAGGGTGTTGATAACGATAAAACTCTCGCATAGAGATAGAGTGGAATAAACTGAGTCGAAAAGTCCTTTATCATTTTACAATTTTCGCAATAGTTAAGATATTAAATACTAAAAATCGCAAAATATTGGTTATTAATTTTTTACGCAAGTACTATCAACTTTACAGAAAAATAGCAAGTGACAAATGTTTATTTTCTTCTCATAGAGTTCTGAGAATTTTTCAGAATTTTTTAGTATTTTCTCATGTTGGTAAAAATAGTTGCCAATAAGAAAATGCAGTACTAAAAAATTGACAAAAAAATTCTGAAAAAAATCTTAGAAGAATTCTCTATAAGAAAAAAATAAACAATTTTTGTCTCTTGCTGTTTTTCTGTAAAGTTGATAGTACTTGAATAAAAAATTATTATGTGATTTTCAATACAATATTTGGTCATTTTTTTAGTTATTGATATCTTATTAACTGCAAAAATTGCAAAATGATTATGTCGATACTATATTATACCGTATTGTACAATTTTCCTCTGAGAGGACGATTTTTTTTAAATATGTATAAGTCTAGATAGTAATATTATTAATAAAATAAAATTCCATTAAATACATTTTAGACGATTTCTAATTCAGAATGTCAGAATTCAGAAGATTATTTTATTTATATGCGGCGTAGCACAAAAAAGAATCGAAGTCAGAATACTTAAATAAAATTAAAATATGTAAAATATCTAGCTCGAGATTGCTAAACAAAAATTAATAATTAGAAAGATTAAAAAATACAAGCAACGTTTATTGGATATTTAAAAATAAACTAGTTTATTACAATATATTTAAGAATTAACTAGTTTTTTATTCATAAATAAAATAAAATGTACAATCTATTAAACGTGTGTAGTTTTGATATATATTATATTACGCATATATTTAAATAATATATAAAATGTATGTTAAAATAATACATATATCTTGTACATTAAAAGTCAGAAACACATCAGACTTCGATCCTCAAATCATAAAGTGGGTTAAAAAATAATAATCAGGATATCTATAAAACGTAATTATAACTGAAAGTTATTACTATGATTGTCTCAGATTTATTGTCTTAAGCGTGCCAATAGTACTTCATATAGTGATAACAAATTTATCGCGTTTGCATGAGTCATCTGTAATGATACTTACGTAGGAAAACATATAAAAACGAATCCGTACACGCTCAAGTACATTTAATAAGATTTGCAATTTGCCGAGTCAGCGTTATGAAAGGAGGGCGAATGAAAAATGCGACAGAAGAGCAAAACGCGAGACTTGTATGAACAAATACTCTTTTATTATCTTAAAACGATTAAACGCGTTATATTAAATATAAAGGCGGCAAAGTAATGCGCTTTGATTTACATCAATATACAATATACAATTGTAAACAATAAATACACCACACCCTGGGACATCCTATGTTCCTTCGTCAAAATCGTGAAGCACGACTCGTAGTCGTGGAAGGCTGTTATCTGCACTTGTAAAATTCATGCAAATTTTCCTCGCGCATGTACACACACACACACACACACACACACACACACACGCACGCACGCACGCACGCACATGCACGCACACACACACACGCACGCACACGCACACACGCACGCACACACGAACACACACACACAGAGAGAGATGTTATTGTGTTATCTGGGTCCTTAATTAATATATTATGTCTCTTTATAGCAGAGCTATTACAGTGAAAGTGACGTGCCTGCGCTATTTTATGTAATAAGTACGTTAATTACACATATTAAGAACACTTTGATTTTCACGATCAGTGTCTGAATATCAAAACAATGTGAATAAACTAGTGGAATGTTCTTTATGGGCGACCTCGACCAAGCTCCGATTGATTGCCTCCGGCGGTATTATGATGAATGTATTAAATGCAATTTAGCTCATAAGCAGAATCATTAGCTTTTTTTTTCCATTTCCGCTACACATTAAAAGAAAAATTTAAAGTCACAGATGCTCTGCTAATTGTATAACACAGTTGAACATTTTTCCGCTAGGCAATCAGTCGCTGATTATAAGTAGATAATATAATTACAGTTGTTAAAAAAAAGATAGCTACGATTACAGTTTGGTCGAAATCCGCCTTAAATGGTAAGACAAGAACAAGCACGTGGCTTGCCGCATTGCCATGCTCCTGCGTAGTTATTGTTCGTAGCACGGCCGATTATCTGTCATCAATCCAGTTGCGTTTCGCATATCAAATAGGTTAATTCCATAAAATCGTTGTGTAATACGGCACGATGTCGGGAGGTACGTTCTAACGGAGAGTTTGACTAGGCAACTCCGACGTGCATTATCGTTCCGATCGTACCGATGTATTGTTCTATTTATTTTCCACCTCCCTTTTCTGTTGCGCAAGTTTTCGCGTGTAATAATATCAAACTGGCTAATCGGCGTTTCACGGTCAAGTTCAATTACCAAGTCGACGATGGCTAAGAATACACAGCGCTCTGTGAAATCTAGTTGTAAGTCGACGTAAATATAATCCTCTCTTGTCCTTAAATTAAATAGCACATATGTCTTGCACTCTCATTCCGCCGCGTGTTATGACTAGATCTTCGGATCTTCATTCGTGTTTTAGTCGGGCAGCTGGTACCTCGTTCGTTGCCTCGCCGTCCGACTGGCGAGGTCGAGCAGCTGTTCTTACATTTGCCGCCTCACCGTCCAATTGGCGAGATCGGGCAACCGTTCTTTCGTTTGCCGCCTCACCATTTGTCTGGCGATTTATGGCTTGCTGCCGCAACTGAGCTCGCTTCAGGCTCGTCATTAATTGACTGGATTGATAAAGCCAACTGGCCTGAAAGATCATAACATTATATGCACGTGTCGAATTTTTAGAATGCGTATTCGTTCAAAATCGAATCTCGAAGCTAATTTAGCTAATATACTCACCACCATAATCATGCAGTTCATTAAAATGGGCACGGAGAAAACGATGGATATAAACCAGCCTTGTGAGTCGAAGTACTGCTGTCTAGAAAATATCCTGTGAAAGTTGTGAAGGAGATTATTAAAAGGAAAAACCTGGAGGAAAGAGAAAAGAACCGCTTTGACAAGCCACGGTCGCGATTGAATACGTACATCCAGTTTGTTGCCGCAACCTCGTTAATACTTTCTGAGAAATAAACCAGGAGTACTGAAACAGAAACAGAGTTTGTGGTAACATTGCGGTAACCAGGTAAAACCTACGGTAAATTATAGTAGACTCTTACAGAGCACGAGAAACAGGATTATCTGAAAATTCGCGTGGTTCCTTGTCATTAACGCGGTCATTGTGACGGCAATATGAAAAGTCAATAGCGCAGCTAGCCATGGATCCCTCCAATCGATCTGCAACAATATATTCATACAAAATACGTTAATAGTGCTTAACGAAAAAGTAGCAAGTGTTGTTATTGTTATATTAAAGAGTTCTTTTATATGATTAAAACTATATTAAAGTATCTTGGAACTATATTAAAAAGTTCTTTAATACAGTTGCAAGACTCTTTAATATAACTGAGCAAGAGTCTTTGATAACTGCAAGATTTTTTAATATAACTGAGCAAGAGTCTTTGATATAATTGGTTCTTGCATTTATTTACATATATAGTTCTTCAATAGATCTAAATATATGAACCAATCCCGTTGAAAAACAACAAGGCTGCTTTTTCTGCTAAACGCAATGCTTTAATCTGAAGTAAATGAAACTGACATCGAAATCTAATCTTTAAATAGGAAAACTGTGCTATAATCTTATTTCCCAAAATATCCTTTCACTATGTTTAGCGGAGTTGCAAAAGCAAAAGGAACGTAGGATAAGGTCCATTCCAATTTCAAATATGATATAATTCTGAACAAAATAAAATTTAGACCGAGATAATCATACTCGATTCTTACATTTAAAATTGTTTTAAGTACAATCTTAAGATGTTATAAACTAATTAGAGAGCTGTATTAGTATCTTAAGACATTAAGATAGTTTTAAAATAAAAACTATTATGAATATCAATCTTATCTAATCTTTCGAAGTTCAAGTTAATCTTGATAATCCTTATTTCATCTTGTGGAATGTACAAAAGGCATCCTCAAACAGGAAAAAATTAAAATAAACTTAAAAATTAGACTGCAGGTTAAAAAAGGAGCATTAAAGCCTACACTGGTTCTTAGTATGATAAAATTTTTCTAAATCTAAGTGAGTCCATGTTGATCCTTATCAGCGAGTGTACATTATAATCAACATACAATGTTCGTCTTATACATCTGCTTTTCATTAAATTCTGCACATTTCAATTGGTTTTATACCGATATGGACATACTTGTTTGAATAATTTACACATGGCTTTTGATCTTTTTCCAAGAAATACATTTGACTGTTCAATCGTATGTAAATAATGTCGAGTTCTACATCAAGACTTACTCGAGCTGTTATTATAAGGAATATGCGGGCATTTTTGATAACTAATTTTGTACAGCGATTTTTGATAAGTTAATATCTGAAAAGGGCTCAATCAATTCAGTAACCGAAATTTGTAATGTTTTATATTGGAATTTAAAATGTGTTTTTTTATTTTTACTTTTCTTTATTCGTAATTTATTCTTTTTAATTGTGTTACAATTTAAAATGTGTTTGACTCTTACTTTGCCCTTTATTTATTGTTATTTATTTTATAAAATCTAACTTATAAACTAATTTTCGATTAGGTTGATGACCTAATAGAAGATCGAAACATTTTAATTGAAAGAATCAGTGTAGGCTTTAATGCTCCTTTTTTAACCAGTTTATTCTGTAAACCGATACAGTTATATTGTCAAAAATTAGATTTAAATTATTTCATTCACTTAGAATTGCATTGTGTTCGAAATTGTAGCACCTTATCCCAATACATGTTTCTTGCTCTCCCCCCTCGCCCTCCCCCTTATCGTTTTAGCGATTTTATTACTCGCACAAGATAATCTTGCAAAGAAAGGATTGAAGAAAACATTCGAAAGCACAACACGCGATAACCGTTTAAAAATATACAGAGAGATTCTGGAGACCGAATTACGCAGCATTTTCGCGAGGGTCCGTGCGAGTCTCAGCGACAGGACGCCCTTGAGAACGAAGTGTGTCCATGACGAAAATAGAGATGAAGATATAATCGGCAATTTTTCGCCGCCACCTCCTCGTCCAGGACGATAAAAGGAGGTCGCGGTAACGGCGGAAGCCGATTGATTTCTATTTACGCTTCCGATCTAATTCGCGTCTCGTCGCGCACGCGACGCCGACGATAAGATAAAGGACTCGTGGATAGATCTTCAAGGCTCGATGTGTCAATAATGTATACATAACGCGAATGTTCAAACGAATCGGCGCCGCCGGCCGCGTCGAAAATGAAAGTTGCCGGAGCGGCGAATGTGAATTACAACGCCGCCGGTCAGCAGGAATCTGGAATGTGAGGATGTATAATATATTGATGTAGATGCAGAGTAGATAATATGAAAATATTACACGTATTGCATAATACCCGTTTTCTATTAGTTCAATTTTAATCTTGATTCAACTAACTCTTCTAATTCAGGGAATTAGAAAAAGATAAAGCAATGTCCGTTTTATTCAATGTAAATTAACTTTAATCTCGATTCAACTCATACTTCATCTTTTTCTAATTTTAAGGACTTGTACTTCACGTTTTTCGAATTCTTAGAATTAGGAAAAGATGAAGTACACAAGTTGAATTAAGCTGATTACAATTAATTTATGTTGAAACGGGCATTAATGACACGAAGTTCGTACGATTTATGCTCCCATTTCTACTAATGTATAATATAGATTAATTTTAATTTTGGTTTATTTTTTTAATTCTTTATTTTATTTATGTGTACTTATTTCCACGCTTGATTTCTACTTTTATATGCCGTTTTTGTTTTGCTTTCTAGTTCTCATTCTTAGAACTAGAAAGAGATAAAAAGTAAGTTAAATTAAGATTAAAGTCTATATTGATAGAAACACATTAATGGAACTGTATATGAATTTAAGTTCGTATAATGAGAATGTGTTTGCATTTGTAATAAATTTCCATTCTAAATCGTACAAACATGCATACACCTTCACCTTCAGCGAATCATATAATTTTCACGTTTGTTGTCTGGTGTAATTTTATGTTTTTTTTTTCTTTTTACGGTGCGTTCAGCGATTCCTCTTCTGAATTATAAGCCGAAAAACGTTGAAGAAAGTCCGCTTTTACTAGCATTTAATTCCCTCGTGCTTCTCTGCTCTTCTATTCTTATCTTTCAATCACGAGATGCAACGTCTGCTCTAACTTTTTCTCACTCGTCTTCTTCCGTATCTCTTCTCCTTTTTCCTCTTCCTTCAAATTCCGCGAATAATATATTTTTAACGATACGATGATAAAGCTCCAATAAATTACGAATCAAAATTAATTAATTAAAAGATTGAAATTAATTATTACATTAAAAACGTATTGCAAATAAAAAAATGTTAAAAATCTGTACGAACCAAAGCTAATTGTTTAATGTTAAAAGCACTGAACTAAAGCATTAAACTATTAAATAAATGAAAAATTAAACTGCTAAATAAAACCTATTAAATTAAAAAAACTATAAAACTATTTTTAAAAACTTTATATTAAAACTACTAAACAAAAACTAATTATAAAACTATTGAAAAAATTAAAGTTGTTAACTAATTCTAGCAAAACAAGTAGCTTTGGCTCGTATAACTCATTAATTAATTTTTTTTAATACATTTTTTTGTAATACATTTTTAATTTAGTAATTAATTTAAATCCTATACAAAAAGCACAACAAGTCCGACTAAAGACTACAAAAAGAGGACTGTAAAAAGCTTTTGGCTGATATAGCATCTCAACGCGATGTATCTCCCAGAATCGTAATCTCGATGACGATACGAACGAGTAACTGGCTCGAGAAGATGAGCGTCATGTGTATATATATACACATTTTTGACACCAAATATAAAAGCGGCTCGAGAATTATCGCTAAACGATGAATTCACGTAATCAACGCGCGGCATAGTGCGCCGGTGCTTTTTGGAGCAGCGACTCCAGTTTCTCATCTTCTCAGCCGTGATCAAAAAAATGAAAGAAATTCGGATTTAATAGGCGATCAGCTGACGTCGTCGTCGCAAGATCCGTCGATCGCCCGCTTGAGGAAAAAAGAAAAAGAAAAATAAGTTTGACGAGACTGGCGAGGAACTGTCATCGCGGGACTGGAAACAACGAGCGATGCCGCGACAAAACAGAGGAATAACGAAACGGGGGAATACAGAAGAGAGACAGAATAAAGAAGAAAACGAGAGAGAGAGAGAGAGAGAGAGAGGAAAGAGACGGATGAAACTCACGCTTTGCAGGAAAGGCCAGATACCGTCGATGCTGTCCGTCGCTGTGAAAAGGCTATGAAACGACTCGTCCCTCGACATTGTGTGCCCGTCGTGATGTGCGGGTCCTCGTATGAATATGTATTGCAACGATGACGGCGGTAACGATTGAAAGGCGCCGGGAGAGCAGGTGAAGGCGGAGAAGAAGGCGAGCGCATCCGCACGACTCCAAAAATTTTAAACACACACGTACTATTCTCACAGCTACCGGCGGCGCGACTCGACTCGCGACTGACTGACTCACTGTGAGGTCTGACTGACCGGACCGGACTGAACTGGACCGAAATAAAATGTGCAACGGGAGACGAGCACCGCGACGACGGAATCGCCTGGGGTGCGTTCCAAAACTTGACTGTTAACTCCGAATATCTTTTAGCTTTGTTCAGCATTCGGTGAACAATAAAGATAAAATAATACTCGGAACATTAGTATACTCGGATTATGATAGAGTAGAGTTTTACGACCCTGAGTGAACGGAGCGAAGTTAGCGTACAATCGCGCGATGCGATAACGCTGATCAACTCAATTTATATACTATGCGGGAAACGAGAGGAAGAGGGAGATGTTGAAGGCGTGTTTACAAACAGGTTTGCGAATAACCGCGTGTTCAATCAGTCTTATGGTCGATTAATTGTGTATCTCGAAATGAGGTAAAAATTACAAAAATGGCCAAATTTTATATACATTATGAAATATTTATGTGAATCATTTTTTGAGATATTTCAAGAAAATATATTAGAAATATTTTATGATATAAGCGAGGATTTAATTTATAAAACACTTAAAAATACTGCATTAAAATATTTTACTAAAATATTTTAGAAATATTGTACAAATATTGTAAGAAAAGAATTTCAAAAATTTTGATTTTCTGGACATATTCATATTTCAAAAATATTCATGAAAAATTTTTTAAATATTTCAAATCTTACAATGAAATATTTGAGAAATATTTCTGAAATATTTCATGCTACATAGACTGAGTTGATCAATGAAAATATATTCTTAGTAAATTCGCTCACTTTTGTAATTTTTATCTTGTTTCAAATTACATAATCGGCCTTGTTTCTTTCCCAAGTACATTATTTTGACGTCAATGTTGTCATAAATGTCATTTAAACATCAGAAAAGCAAATAATGTATTAACTGCACCGCTGAATAAACATCCGTCTTGTTTCGAATGTTTAAGAGATATTGATATAGCAGAGTATAGTTAAAAAACGAATAAATATTCTCTTTACTTTTGATTTATGATAAAAATGGCATTAAAATTTAAAATATCTCATTGGTGAATTTATGTAAGATGTTTCGAATAACGCTGCGATACATACATTTAAAACAAAATTATATAGTGCGTATTTAGCGCTGCTCTATGATCGAATATCTGAATCTGCACTATCTGCAGCTACATTCAGTAGTATAGGTTAGAAAGGAAATTATCTGTGAACGTAACATGTGATTGACCGGTTATACACGTGTATTGTTGTTGTATAAACATTTTCAGAAATGGCAAGTAAAACGAAAATTATTAATCTGACTAGGATGTCCAGAATATTTCAAGGAACGAGCCGATCGTTCGATAGCGTAGAAAAGACAGATATCATATCTAAAAGTCATAAGGTATGTATACCTTTTTAAACGTTAATTAAACATTTCTTGAGACTTATGCCCATTTCCACCAATGTAGATTAACTTTAATCTCGGTACAACTTACTCTTCGTGTTTTTCTAATCTTAAGATTAAAGTTAATCTGCGTTGATGGAAACGGGCCTTAGGTAAATAATTTTTTCACAGTATTGTTTAATTGATGAAAACCATTGCTTGATATAATTATGATGTTAAAACAGTATTTCTAACAAAAGTTGTAAATTTCTTCAACAAATTTACTATTAAAAACTAAAAATATTTTTAAACATATTAGGTATTTAATTCCAAATGTTTCTTTAATTTTTGTATAAGTACTTTCCATTTAGTGACACAAGTCAATATAAATATTCTATCTTTTTTGGCATCCAATGATTAACAAAAATAAAATAACACTTGTGTTGATTTGTGTCATCAAATGAAAATAAAAATGCCTGAATTAAATGACAGGTTTTCTTTATAACTTAAAGGCTTTATCTTTAATCTTTTTGTTTCAGTTAATGATTAATTGTGGAATTATTAAACCACTTAGTATTGGCATGTATGCTCTATTGCCATTAGGAATGCGAATTTTAAATAAATTAATTGATATTGTTGACAAAGAAATGACAAATATTGGCGCACAAAAAATACTACTTCCAGCATTAACTCCTGCTGCGCTGTGGAAGAAAACTGATAGATATGATTCCAACAAAACCGAATTGTTTACAGTTATGGATAGACACAAAAAAGAATATATATTGAGTCCAGTAAGTAAGAAATATATATTATAAAACATTTTCCTCTATCAAGTACTATTTCAGATAAAATTTTGAGTTTTTTGAAGAAAAACTGAAAATTATTTTCTAGAAAAGTCAATATTATTTCAATTAATAGAAATTACTTAAAAGCTATTAACTAATAAGGTGAATTTTTTACATCAATATAATATATCCATTTTTTTTGGTTTATCTGAAATCTCAAATAATTTTATGTTGTTACAGACACATGAAGAAGCAATCTGTGATTTGATATCGTCAGCAGGACAAACTGTCCAGATTTCCACTAAATTATTACCCTTGAAGTTATATCAAATTTCTAGCAAATGGCGAGACGAAATGAAACCACGGCTTGGTTTCCTACGTAGTCGAGAATTTATCATGAAAGACTTATACACATTTGATACTAACTTGGACAATGCACGACATACGTATGATTTAGTCTGCGAGTCTTATAATAATATTTTTAGGCAGATTGGTATAAAATATACAAAAAGTAATTAACATTTCTAATTGTATATTAAAATCTATGTATTTTATAGATATATAGTTACCAACTTTGGAACAATCTTGTAGAATTATTTAATGATGATTATTAAAAGGCATAGGTGATATGGGAACAATTGGAGGTCTGATGTCACATGAATATCATTACGTGTCTGATATCGGTGAAGACACGATACTTCAGTGTCCATCATGTCATTTCTCTATTAATCAAAGTATTTCTAAGACGACGAGTTGTCCAGAATGTAAAAATGAATTACATTCATATACTGCTGCTGAGGTAATGTTAAAATTTCTTTAAAAAATTATATTTTATTTAACAACTAATTGATATAAATTAAAGATATAAGTATGCGAACGTTATAAAAAAATATATTACATTGCATAAACGATAATTGCAGGTAGGGCATACATTTTTATTAGACACAAAGTATTCACGGCCATTAGGAGCGATGTTTATGGACCAGAATAAACCGACACCTATGGTAATGGGCTGCTTCGGTCTAGGATTAAGTCGTATCATTACATTAGTTGTCGAAACTTTGTCAATAAATGATGAGATGAGGTGGCCTGTAAAGTTAGCACCATATACAGTATGCATCATACCACCAAAGGTAGGTAAAATAAAAAATATAGCTGTACATCTATTAAAGAATGTTCTTTGTTACTACCTTGAAATTTATAGGCTGGAAGCAAAGAAGAAAGTACATCTGTATATATTGAACAGCTATTTGAGATATTCTACAAACGCAATATTGATACAATATTGGACGATCGCACGCATTACACGATTGGTAAACGATTAGTGTTAGCGCGTCAATCGGGTTATCCTTATATAATTGTCATTGGCAAAGCGGCAACCCAATCGATTTCTTTATTTGAAATTCATGATGTGAATAATTCAACTTATCATGAATTATCCTTAGATCAGATAAATGATTATTTCGATAATATAAATATTAAAGATTAGAGATATGAACGTATACAGTATATATATATATAAGAAATTGAAATGCTAGTGAATATTGTATATTATACACTTCTTTATAACAAATGTAGAAACTGTACATTTTTGTGAATACCAATTTTTTTACTATTAACCTTCATATTATTTAAATGTACATATAAAAATTTAATAAATGAAGAGTTGGCGGTTATTTAACAATAATTAAAGCTTTTTATGTGTAAATAGTTCAATATCTGATAAGACGTTGATCATAATTGAACCTAAATCGAGAAAATTGAGACTTGCATGCGAAATGCCATTCAGCATCTGTCTATATATATTATAATACTTTTTGATTGAAAATTCTTTTGAAAACCTAAAATTCATAAGTGCTATATCAAAATATTGATATTATTGTAATAGGATTACAAGGCAATAATGCAGAAAGATATCAGAGATAAAAGAACTGCTTTACTAAAATATATAATTTACTAAATATATAATTATATACATATAGTTGCTGTAAAAAATAACATATAAATTCTTATTTTGTTGACTTATAAAAGTTAAATGGAAGACATAGTCAAATTAATAAATACTTATTAAAGTTTAAAATAATATTGGGAAATATGATAAGAATATGATGATAATGAATGAAAATGACGAAAATTTTTTATAAATTTCTACTGGACTTTATATAGAATCTGAATTGTATATTGGTGTAAAAGTACGGCTTATTATAAGAGGATCGATTTGCCCAGAATCCGATGCAAATTTCCTAATTGATCCTCAAATAATATGTCATTTATAGCTTTTTTGGCATAAATTTGTTGTTCTTAGGACATTTTTGGCAGTTCTAAAGTCCAAGCCTTAGCAATTTTGTCATATTCATTTTCATTAGATTTAAGACATTTGCATGCAAAACACGTCAGTGTAAGTTCATCTTGTGTATTTTTCTTTTTCTTTTTGATTGTTATTTTTTCTTTTATTATTTGACATGTATTGTCTTTCTTGATCTCTTTCCGGTTCTCATTTTCTTTATATGTCTGCGTCATCTATAAAAAAATTATTTTATATTACGAGGAGGGACCCAAAAAAAACGGGAATTTCGTCATAACTTCTTTATTTCTCAATATTTTAACACCAAATTTTAATCACCTTCAAGGTATTCGCCATTGACCACAACGCACTTCTCCAAACGATTCTTCCATTGTTCAAAACAGTTTTTAAATTCACTCATCGGGATGTCCTTTAAGCCTTCCAGCGATTTTTGTTTCACCTCCTCCACAGTGGCAAAACGCTTTCCTTTCATATTCCTTTTGAATTTGGGGAACAAAAAGAAGTCACAGGGGGCTAGATCCGGTGAGTATGGGGGGTGGACAATTGGTGTCATGGCGTTTTTGGTCAAAAATTGCTTCACGGAAAGGGCGGTGTGGGCCGGCGCGTTGTCATGATGGAAGAACCAGTCGCCTGTGCGCCAAAGATCTGCCCTTTTCTTCCGGATACTCTCCCTCAATCTTTTCAAAACCTCCAAGTAGAACTTCTGGTTGACAGTTTGACCCGGGGGAACGAACTCCGCGTGCACAACACCTCTGCAATCGAAGAAACAAATGAGCATTGTCTTGATGTTTGACTTCACTTGGCGAGCTTTTTTGGGACGAGGAGAGCCAGCTGTCTTCCACTGGCTTGATTGCTGCTTTGTTTCGGGATCGTATCCATAGCACCACGATTCATCACCAGTAATCACCTTGGAAAAAAATTCAGGGTCCTCTTCGAGCTGATTTTGAAGCTCAAAACATGCCTGAAGTCGACGCTCCCTTTGCTCGTCTGTGAGAAGTCGCGGGACGAATTTGGCTGCAACCCTTCTCATGTGCAAATCTTCGGATAAAATTCTCTGAATTGAACTCCATGAAATTCCCGACATCTCACAGAGTTGATCAATGGTTCGGCGACGGTCTTCACGAACAAGGGCATTGATTTTGTCGAGGTTTTCATCAGTTCTTGACGTTGAGGGGCGTCCTGAACGAAATTGGTCTTCAATAGACATTTCTCCATTTTTAAAACGTGAAAACCAATCGTAAACTCTGGTTTTACTTAAGGCAGCATCCCCATAAGCAGTCTTAAGCATTACGATAGTTTCCGCGGCCGATTTCCCCAACAGGAAACAAAATTTCACAGCCGCGCGTTGTTCTCGACAATCTGCCATTACGTTTTCGCCGAAATGTAAAAAGTTGTTTTACTAAAAAAAATCTCACAGGCGAACCGATGCACTCACAGCGACACAACTTCGCACACTGACGCAGGTGGCGTGACACTAACGGACATGTGGTCAAACAATAGGTTCCCCCACTCTCCCTCCCCACCACAGCGTAATTCCCGGAACTTATGGGTCCCCCCTCGTATTGTTGAAAAACTGTATTTATTTAAATAAATAAATTTTTGTATAAATTATTTACATTAATTACAGAGTTATTTTCTTTTGTCTTCTTAAATTGATCCATTGTGCTACGTGAATTTTGTATTATTTCTTGAAGGAAACGCATTTCTTCAAAATACCATAAAGTTGGCTTTTCCACATCAATTCCATTTCGTTTGGCATCATTTATTCGTTTTAGCTCCTTTCGGAAATTTATCCTTAATGCAAAGAATTTTCTGATGATATCTTCTCTAGTTGCTTTTGAATATTTTTCTCGATATTTATTAATTAAAATTGCATAAGCATCATTCTTTTTTCGTCTATTACGGTAATCTTTTGATTTAATATTCCATAATGCAGATAGTGATTTGTAAACTTTTATACATTGAAGAATAAATGTCTTCTCAGTTTTACTAAACGTACTTTTTCTATCACTCATGACTTTTCAAATCTTACACTGAAGCGAAACGATACAGATATTTCTCGAATGCTTGCTATTAAGTGACGCCGGGAGCTCAAAGGTTTTAAGCGGCCCCTAGATGATCAATATTATTTCATAATATTTGATATTGTACAATATTATTGATCATCTGAAGACTATATTGAAGGTTTGTGAAATATATTCTATCATTAGCTGCGTTCAATATTTAGTAAGCGCTTTGCATCGATTGGATTACACTCTTAGATCTCTAAAGAAATTATCCTTTCTCAACGAATGAAACCTCCTACAATTACAAAGTAAAATGCTGCTGAATGCCGTCAATTAATCTTTCAAACATATTGTATAATTTGTAAAATATACGTTTGCCTAATACTGTAAGGTGTCAATTTATGACGATTGACGCTCATTTTTAGCGTTAATAAATTACGTTATTAAAATTGCGCAATACTTTACAAGTTACATAATATATTTTAAAGAATTTTTAATTGACACAAATTATATATTATACAAATTTTAAATAAAAATAAAAAAAATAAATGTTCAATCTTCGCATGATAAATAATATTGTGCAATAATATTGATCGTCTGTATATATAGGCTATTTAAGGAATAAAAAAAAAGAATTATAAAGAATCTTAAAATATATTTCGACGATGATATATCTAACTTTTGATTAATTTATAAGAAAAACTGGCTGGGAATACGCAAGAGAAGGATATGTGTTATAATAATGCAGTGTAACCACAATGTTGAAAATATATTGCAATGTACATACTTTTACATTATGAAATATTTGAAAGCTCTTCTAATATAGTTTGCGTATCTAAAGAATTAAGATCTATCGAAGCCCGCGTATCCACTATCACTCCAGTAACCTAAAAATAATAACGTATATAAGAATAATATAAGAAAAATATAGTGCAAGACATAGATTAATGCATTTTATTTAATTACCATTTCCTCAAAAAATGCAGTATGATTAGGCTTTTCCGAGTATCTCTCGTATTGATCCAAATTATCTTGCAGTTTTAAAGCGAGACTGTCATAATTCTGTATTATAATAGCTAGAATTTGTTGTTCCGTTGGTGTCGATAAACTTTCCTTCGCTAACCACGCAGCTATCTTTGGTGGAAAATGATTTACTATATCTCTCACATTAACGAGAGAATTAGTTAATTTGAGCGCGTGTTCCTTGTACTCATACGATTCGCTAGTCGAATACCTGAGTGCTAGAATATTTTTATATAAAATATTTTATTCTCATTATAAAACACTATTTCGTTTATAGTGTTAAAATTCTTATACTATTATCCACTATTTACCCATAGCATTTAGATTGGTAAAGATAAGCCTCATTCGAATAATTTCGTAAAATAATTCATCGTAACTATTGGGTGACGATAGGAATGTATCAGCATACGTAATAAAAAAATTTAAGATGTTCACTACCTGTTGAAAAGTAATCAAAATATTATCTTGTTCGATTGTGTATGACGATTCAATCTCCCAAATGTTTCATTACCTGAATAGCTAAAGGAAATATATTCATTTTCTTAATAAGATGGCTTTCGTGTGTTGTTAAAAATTTAAGTAAATTGATTAGCGCGGTCCAAAGATCCCGCCACTGGTACCCAAGCCTGACACGGCACCTCTTCTGATAACATAGCAGTCTTTGTAAAACGCCGATACACTGATGATATAATTCAAGTGGAAATTTCTTCATCATGTGTGATGTCACAAATTCGACAAGCAAATCTATAATAAAGCAATATAAATAATAATCATTTTAAATAAAATAAGCATTTAAAACATTTTTTAATTTGTTACAATTTTTCTCAAAATTTAAGCAACTTATATTCAAGTAATATTTTATAGATATTTTGAGAGAATATATAACTTATCATATGAAAAAAATACCGAGTAACGTGGCTGCAAGTGGTTGAGCAGGTGCTGCCTTATCCTGTAACTTTCGATGATGCATAGGTACTCTATGTAATTGAACTCTGAATGCCAGATTCGCGTCGTGCATTAAACTGTTTGCGTATTGGTCCTCCGCAATACAACTTAGTATCAAGAAGCACAACTTCACATTGTTCATTATAGCCTCCGTTCGAATTACTTGCATAACTATTGAACTGTAATCGAAATGGATATCTTATAAACGTTAAGCAGTAGATTATTAAACATACACTTAATGATTTTATATTAATTTATATATTTTTTTCTTCTCACCAATACTGCAGAAAGGTTGCTAGTAGATTGAACGGCTGAGCCATCACATCAGGTGGTGAAGCACCAGGAGCTACTGCATTTGGACCCAGGGTGTTATTCGGCGATGGAGGTGCACTAGTATCGCTTTGCGTGTAGGCCAGAGTAGTTACAAAATTACGATTTAAATGTGTAGCCTCATATAAAGCTAAAAGTAAAGCGTTATTCGCACGAACTTGTTGCGTTTTTGCTTCTTCCTCTCCAACAAACATACTACCAACTATACTTGTTAATGAAGACAACCAAGATGCTTGTATTTCTGAAAATATATTGTTATTATTATTACATTCTGGAGTATGTTTACGGTACGGTATTAATTATTTAAACAGTTGTATACTATTATAATAAACTACTAGTAATATTACTATTGCATTTATATAGAATACCTGCTCTTTGTTGAGCAAATTGCCGGCAAAATTCCGTCAACGAACTTGATATAGCTTGCCCGTATCCATTTAGAGCTAATTCATCATCCAAAATTGATAATTTAACTATGTAGGGATTTGCGCTTTCATATTTCCGATAGTTGACTAGAAGTGTTAACAATAAAACTGCATCATGACCATGACGATTTCTAGCAGCTGTATCTCTCAACAACTATAATACAAAATAATATAAGTGAATTTTATTAATACATAAGATCAAATGTTATTTAAAATTTCATTTTGCATAAACATAAAAAATTATGATTTATAAATATTTAACATACTTGAATTAGCGATTCAAAAACGCTGTTTAACATCACATATTCCAGTAAGGTATTTTGGCTGATATTATCCATACCAGTAACTATTATTAATAACAATTTCAGGCACAAAGCTTTCAAACTATCTGGATATTCACCTAAATAACATAAATTCTTTTATTCATTTTCTTGCTAATATTATATTTAAAGAGTATTTAAAATATATATAATACACACACGCGCGCGCACACACATACACATACACACATATATATACATATAATAGATAGAGTATGGGATAAATCCGATGATTTATAATCTATTTCAAGGGAACATTAAATTAATATATATTTATGATATATACAAATGATTAATAATTGTTGTCTATTATATATCTACCTGTTAAAAAATTATTGCAATGCTGCATTAACGTTGTCATCCTCTGTTCCGCAGAATCAAAGCCTACAAGAATATCTATTAAATTAAATCCATAGTCTCCCTGATTGGCTTTCTTGTACATGGATTGGATAACAGCTGCTAAAGTTTGCAACGCGTATACTATTCTAAATGGATGTTCGTCAACTAATGTATCGACACAATGGCATACCAATGCATTTAAATTTTCTTTGCTAGCATTTAGTTGTTCTGATGTCATATGTAGAATTTCATTTTCAATGTGAGGTACCTAAAATATTACAATTAACTCATACTTTGATAAGTTAGACAATAATTTAAAAAATTAAGGGCCGAAAAAAATTATTGTTCCATCTTTTTGATAAATTTTACCGGTGAAGTAAATCTAGTAATCCATGCATGTGATTGGGTAATCTTGCTACTTATCCAATAGGTAAAATTTATCAAAAGGTGGAGAACAACTGGCCCTAAGAGATACATACCATAGGTTTAATAAGGAACAGTTCATTCCAGAAATTTGGATGAGCTAACGTTAAGTCTTCACCTTTAAAGAAACTCTCATAGATCGGTACTAACTTGCATTTATGTTGACGTTTGGCACCAGAGCCACTCCTTTTTCTCATAGCCATGAGTACAGTAAATTATTTTCTTCTGTTTACATATTCAAATTCTAGAAGTATGTTAAGGTATATGTATAATCTTTACATATATAACAATGCACTTGTGATAATATTAGATTCTCCTAAAATAGCTTTTATGACATTTTAAAAGAAAGAAAATACTAGGTATCTTGCACATTTATCCAACTGTCCATATAATTAATAAAAATATTATTTATATCTTTTAATCCAAAATCTTGCTATATGATATAAATTCAAAATTTCAATGTAACACTGTTATATGATCTGTTACATTTATATCGCAGTCCAAAGATGTAAAATTGTAGAAATTAACAAAGATTTTTTTGATATTAATTCTCACCAAACTTTCTAGAATTCGTATATATTATATATATTGCTAATATATATAATGGAATTCGATCAAGAGAGGTCTTTAGATCCAATATTGCTCAGTTAAAAAAAAAATAATATTTCTAGGTTATAAAATCGACTTGTCAGTAAGCGTGCGCATTATCCTATTTTCTTCTTGAATTGGAAGACCTCGTG